CCCCGATCTCCCAGGAGAATGGTTACAAAAAGAACCGCAGGCGCGGAGTCGTGAGTCCCGCCCGCCGCGTTGTGCATTCCTTCCCCCCCCTTGCATCCCTGTTAACAAACAATGCCGGCCTTTGGAGCGCGGGGTGTGTGTGTGTCTTTGCCGCCGGCCAACAAAAGGCCCTTCCTTCCCCGGCGGGAAAGTGAGCGGTGCCTTTGCAGGTCCCTTCCGCAGAAGCAACGCGAAAGGGCGGCTGCGACAAAACCCACGGAAAAGACAGGATGCCGGGTGTGTGTGTGGGGGTGGGTGGGGGGGGGGCTTGTCGTAGGTGGTGGGATGTTGGCGCCTTGGAAGGAAAATCTGAACGAAGCAGATCCTCTCCCTTGGGTGCCCGGAAGGCGGGGGGCAGCCGTGCGGGCAGGCTGAGCGGTCCTGAGAAACCACCCCTCCACTTCTTCTGCAATTAAACAGACTCCTTTGCCAAGGGGGAGAATCTAATATGACTTTGAAAAGAGGCGTTGGGCTGTAGAGAGGATAGGATGTCAGACCATGGGTTCAAATCCGGACTTCGCCATGGGAATTCAGTGGGTGGTGGCAGTGGCAGGGCCATGCCCTGAAGACGTTGCCTGTCTGGGAAACCCTGTTAGCGTCACTTCATCATAAGTAAGAAGCCACTTGGTGGCACCTAAAAACAGCACTAACATAGCGAGTACTTATGGGGGCCCCAAGCCAGAGGTTTTTCTGTGCTGAAAACACCAGCTGGCGAAGGTCATGGGGCAGCCAGAGAGGCTCTAAAAAGTCTTCATTGTTACCTGCCTTTCTTCTGAGTTGCTCAAGATGATAGGTATTCTTACAACAACCTCATAGGGTTGAACAGACTGACTGGCCCAAAGTTGTAGAGTGAGTTTCATGGCTTAGCTAGAATTTGAACCTTGCCCTTTGCACGTATCCTGCATGCTTTTAAATTGCACTGCTACTTGAACATTTTACTATAAAAAGAAAGGCGGGGGTGGGACTCAGGATGTGCCTGAGTACTGGCAGTCAAGCCTAAAGGTTAGTTTTTTCCTGGAGGAAAAGGAGTAAAGAGCTGAGGACAATACCTAAAGATGAAAGCCACTTGAAAGCCCTATCAGGATCCTTTTAAGATGGCTCTGACTTGGTGGGGCATCATAACAAAACAAGAATGTGTACTATTCAGAACTTTTAGGGGAAAAAAGAAGTGCACATTTCTCTACTTAGCATTTAGAGCGTTTTGTGTGTTTTTGTATAGCTTGTCTTGCAATTCTTAGAACAACTTTGTAAGTTAGACCAGTGTTATTATTGCATACTGCAGATACAGGATTAAGATTGAAAAGTGCCTTGCCTAAGGCAATGGCAAAAGTAAAATTCAAACCAAGTACCCACCAAGGTGTGTACCTCTCAGCACAGGCAGACACAGCCTGCTGAAAGAGAGAGTCCACTGCATTAAGTCATCGCATAATTCGATGCAGGTTTGCAGTCTTACACAGTGCATCCCCCTTGGCTGTGTCCTGCCATCCTAAGTATGCTTACTTGCTGGTAAACCCTACTGTATTCCTGGGGGCTTGTGCTCATGGAAGTCAACTTGGGATGGCAGTCTGTCACTCTGTCACCCCCATTCAAGAAAG